CTGGGGCAGGGGGTTGGGGTGCAGGGCAAGAGTGAGGGCTCTGGCTGGGGGTGCGGGCTCTGGGGTGGGGTGGGGGATGAGGGGTTGGGGGTGTAGGAGGGTGCTCTGGGCTGGGACCAAGGGGTTTGGAGGGCGGGAGGGGGATTAGGGCTGGGGCAGGAGGTTGGGATGCAGGAGGGGGTGAGGGGTGCAGGATCTGGGCAGCACTTACCTCAAGCAACTCCCGGAAGCAGCGGCATGTCCCCCCTCTGGCTCCTACGTGGAGGCACGGCCAGGTGGCTCTGTGTGCTGCCCCATCCGCAGGTGTCACTCCTGGGCCCCGGCCAATGGGAGCTGTGGGGCAGCGTGTGGAGCCCCCTGCCTGCCCCTACGTGTAGGAGCCATACGGGGTCATGCTGCTGCTTCCAGGAGCCACGTGGAGCCACGCCCCCGACCCCGCTCCCCAGCGGGAGCTCGAGGGCCGGATTAAAATGTCTGATGGGCCGTAGTTTGCCCACCCCTGCTCTAGAACCACTCTATGACCCATCTCTGCGTCCCCCATGTGGGCTCATTTCCCCCACCTGACCTGTCTTCCAACCTCCTCATCTCAGCCTCAGTCCTCCCCTCTCTGAGCTTCATTCCTTCCCAGAAAACTCCTCTCCAGCGCCAGCAGTTAACATTGCTTTTTGATCCTATGTCACGCTCCAGCCCATTCACTCTGCCGCAGCCCCGCAGCTCTCTGCTTTCTCACCGCCTCCTCCAACGTCATCCCCAAGGTCCTGTCTATCGCTGAGCTCATGCCGAAAACCAGGGGGGCCCCCCCACACACGAGGCATGCTAGAAATCCAAGCCCAGCCCCTCGCTTATAACAGGCCGTACCAGATCCCCAGATCCAACCTCCCTTGAACTAGGCAGGCTCAAACTCCAGATCAGATTCGGTAACTGAATTCTGAGTCTCTCTCTAATCATTCCCTTTTAATAATCCACCGGTTCTTCAAAAGTCTCTGAGCACCGATACCGCCCTGGAGATTGCATTCCCAGTGGCCACTTTGCTCCGCTCTGTGGTTTTAGTGCCCATAGGGGACACACTGAACCAAATTCTGTTCTCAGCCACACCCGTGTAAATCCAGCATCAGTCCACTGCAATCCCTGATCCTCCGTTTCCCGTCAATCTTCCTGCTCTCGCCTCTCGCTGCAAAACACCCACACACGGTTCTGGGTTTATGTAAGTGGACTTGGAACAGTTTGAAGCCACATGAATCATTTACTTCTACTGACTAAAGAGCCGTGACTCTGCTGGGGTCTTCTGAGTTAAAGATGTGTCTCATACCTGAATGAGGATGTAACGAATGCACGGGGGGGTGTTTGTGCACGGGAAGGGGGTGACCCTGCACAAGGGGCTGCGAGCGTGTGTGTGATCCCCTGTGTCCACTTGTCGGGAATCAGGAGATCAGCCCCCAAGCATTGTGGTGGATGGGTTGTACCTACCGCAGACAGATTCCTAAGGGATCTGTTTGTGCTTTACACTGTGACAACACTCATATAGGTCCAAAGCCCCATTGCTTTGAATTGCACAAACGCGTGTAAGCGTGTGCGTGTGCCGTTCACTTTTCCTGCCCATCAACCCCCTGTGGGGTTAGCAAGTGCCTTGCTGGTGCAGTCCCTTCTGCTCAAATGATCCCGGATAAACACCATTGTCAGATTAAGAGACTACGATTAGGACGCTTACAATAAAAATGTGCCTGAAACAGTCAGGCTGCGGACCCAGCCGGAGCGGGTTTACAAACCAGGCGCGAGCACCTTTACTCTCAGGCGTCTCTGGATTTTCTCTCCCCAGCAGCCATCCCTGGTGTAGGGGGATGTGGCTGCAGAACTGATTGATAGCCCGGATCTCACTGGGAGGGGCCCTCCTGCGCTGTGAGAGGGGGACCTAGGTCTGTCGTAGGGGCGCTCCCTGTTATGGGTAGAGAAGAGATTCTGTTGGTCGGAGGTAGCTGTAAAAATCGGTGGGTCGATCTGAACCCGGCCCCTCTCGATGGGACCCTGAAAAGCCGGATCTTTTTCTCAGAGCTACAATCCCTTGAACCCCCAACCTCGCCAGAGATCTCTCCTCTTGGGGGGGGGGGAGCACTAGCTACATATCTGTACATTGAACTAAAAAAGCCAAGGATGTTGCCTGAATTATGGCGAGACTCAACGGCCCCCGTATGATTAACCCAGCCTCGGTAACTTCAATGCGGCTTCCCCGGCCTCCTGCTCTCTTCACCATGGGGGTGGTAGCAGAGTGGTGGGAGGGAAGCGACTCTGTAGCGGATGGCCTGGGGGTTGGGGGGGGGGCAAGGAAATGTGAACCGAGTGGAAACTGACTCCTGGGTGGATGATGTGGGAATTCTGCATGGGGCATCGGGAACGACAGTGGTGGTCCCTGCTGCCCGGGAAGGAGGGAGTCTGTCACCAGAATGCTGTGGGCTGTTGAACAGGTAGAGCGATCAACTAGGCCCAAAGGTGGGATTTTGAATGACACTAGGAGAGACCGGGTTCTTTTTGTGGCCAAACCAAGGGGAAACTGAGGCAGGTGCACCGATCGTGCCACAGCTTTCTGCAGGAGGGTCTCCCCTCCTCCCAGGGCGGGGGTCACCTTATCACAGGTGGTGTAGGTCTGACTTCTCAAGCTCTCTTCTAGCCCTACAGCTCTCTGATCTGCGTTTGGCTGAGATAGAGGACAAGCTGTAACAGACAAGCTGTGTGGCTTGCTGGCTGGGATGGGTAAGAGGCTCTTATGAGGACCAGCCACTGCAGAGGGACAAAGCCCTTTACTCTCCTAATGGGGGCTACACACAGTGGGGGCAGAACTAAGTATCTTCTGCAGTGCAAGCTAGAATCATAGAATATCAGGGTTAGAAGGGACCTCAGGAGGTATCTAGTCCAACCCCCTGCTCAAAGTGGGACCAGTCCCCAGACAGATTTTTGCCCCAGATCCCTAAATGGGCCCCTCAAGGATTGAACTCACAGCCCTGGGTTTAGCAGCTATCCCTCCCTCAGTAACGCTTGACTGGGCATAAGTAACCGGCTTTTATTCTCAACAAAGGCCAGTGACGGGACTGATCCCTGGTACAAAGTCGACGTATTTAATCTGGGACGGGATTTCAACCATTTTTCATTTGTGGACCCCAAAAAAGTTTCAAATGGAGGTGCGGACCCCTTTGGAAATCTTAGACATAGTCTGGGACCCCCAGGGGTCCGGGAACCACAGGTTGAAAACCACTGGTCTAGGACATTGAATTGATAAGATTTTTTTTTCCAGAGAGAAATGATCAATGTAAAACTCATCTTTTGATT